CTTCTTTTAATAAGGAAAGGATTGGATGGGAAAGTGGATTTGACGGTGGAGGACACGCATAGGACGGGGAAATGCCTTCTTTCTTTACGTCCTCTCTTCCCTTAATTCGGCAAATTGGGCCGTTTGTTCGTTTGTCACCTTATATAACACTAGGTGCTACTCGTGACTTCGTTCGCGTGGAATTAGCAAAATAGTAAAACATTAGTAGCCTATTTACTCAGTAATAACATAGCTTTTTAATGGTGCAAGAATTTGAAATCGGTCGAGTAGTTTTTGAGTTATTTCAATACATACAAAAATATAAACTTATCCTATTTATTTTAGTATAGAAAACTACATATTAAAGAATTTATTCTCAAAGCGACATGTTTATGAATTCTGTTGGAAACATTTATTAATAATTTTATAGTTACCTATTAACCGGTGTGCCGGAACAAGATACTCGGACATGATCGCTGGCGTTGAGGAAGTATTTCTGGTCACCCAACACCCGGACTGGTTCACCAATCTTGTAATTATTATCATCGATGTATATAATATCTTTGTACACACAAACAACGTTGCTCATAGTCTTCAATATATCTTCTGTTACGTAACATTCAGACATCTGTAAACACTTAACTTAAACTTTAACTTATAAAACTTTCGTGAGACGTTATACTATATTATTTATAACACGGCTAAAAACTCACGTGAGTTCTTCAGGGTGGCACTTCTTCAGGGTGAGTGGATGCCGGCTTTATTCGCTATCGCGTCACTCACCCTGAAGAAGGACCCCCTACGGGTTTGAAACTGGTCGGTGCCTACACCAAAAGTTCCCACGTGAGTTTTTACCCGTGTTATAAATAACATAAGAATTATCTTGTTAATATGTCTTGTATCATCACCAGCACCAGCTCACTATTAGTCCCCACCGAAGGGCTCGGAGCCTACCCTAAATTAGGGTGATTAGGCCATAATCAAATCAGTCAACATTAGCTAAGTGCGGGTTGACTTCACACATATCTTTGAATTTCTTCGCCGATATGTGTAGGTTTCATCACGATTTCCTTCACCGTAAAAACCTCGGGTAAATTATGTACATATGAAAATTTGAAAAATCCAAAATCACATTGGTACATGGCTTCGAACCCAAGATATGTAGAGTCAAGTGCTCAAACTACTGAGCCACCGACGCTCTTTGTCTTGTTTCACGAGATAATATTAAAAATGAGAAGCATGTTCGGGTCAAAACTTATTAATGGTGAAAGATTTTTTTAAATTGGCTCAGTAGTTTTTGAGTTCTTTCAATATATACAAAAATCCAAATACACAATTTTTTCCTTGTAATAGTAATAATTAGTATACCATAGATTAGTAAAAAACGCGTGCAAGCAACATTTATGAATATTCTACAATACCAAGTGTAAGGAATGTTAATACGAGATAATATTTGTCTAAATAGATGCGATCTTTGCAATGGGTTTTGTAGTTTTCAAGTTCGTTTATAACTCTTGTCAATATGGAAAGGCTAAAGAATAAAAGTATGGATAGTAATACAAACATTACACTGCACCCAGTCGCCGCCCTCGCATTTTATCTTGGGTATATCCTTGTTGAACCTCAACATCTCCGGCGCGAAGGGGTCCAGCACCGGTAACTTACAACCTACCTCCTTTTCCTCTAATATACTTTTTTGCAGCTTTATTTGCATCTTACTGGAATAACAAACATACTTACTGTAACATGTCGTTGTAGACAGTAAAATTTAGCATATACAATAATAAGAAATAAGACATACTTTGTGAATGAAAAGACAAGAATTTTAATAAACAAAACTTTATTTTATCTTAGAAAAATCCTTTGCCGTATATCTTTAAATCCATTAAAGGCAATAATCGACAGACTTTATACGAAAAAATAGCCTATGTAACAGACTTCTAAACAGATAGGCTATAAGCCGCGATATTTTGTGCCTATTTGATTTTCACCATTTTGCTGCTGACGGTTGAGATTGTTAGTGTATAGTGATGATTCAAACTGTCAGACACTAACCGGCGCGATTAAAATAGTTACAAAACTGTAATTTTCAAACCTATCTACTTATGGAAATAAATACTAAGTAAACATTAATGTTTTTTCTCCATAGAATAAATCAGAACGAAATTGACTTACTGGTTCGAAGTGTGTCTATCAGGTAAATTCTTTGGCATATCACCGTAGTTCAATATCATTAAGAGGGAAGCTATAGAAAATATCGCAAGCACTACAAACGCATAGAGTTGGTGTTTATTCTTAAACTGTGCTCTTGTCAAAATCTTAATTAACTGAAATATAGAAAATGTTAATTAACAAAAATTCTATGTCTTTTGTCCCTATAACCTTAAAAGGGCAAGTAAACTCTATTGACAGGCTATAAAGTATGGAATGTCGTGCCTAAATGATATCCGCCATTTTGGCGCTGATGGTTTCGGTAGTTAGCGGCAGAGTATATCTATATATATACTAATATTGTAAAGAGAAAAGATTTGTACTTTTGGATTTTTGTATGTATTTGATTCACGAAAAAACTACTGGACCGATTTTAAAAATTCTTTCAGCAAAAAAAAGGTAATTTATGTATTAATAAATAGCGTTTGAAATTTCACATTTCGTGGACGAAGGCAAGAGCTAGTAGCGTATAGAGGTGGTGAGGATTCGAATTAACATAGATTAAACTGTCAAAATCATCAACAAACGCGTTCAATTTGGAACGAAGTAACGCATTTGCTGTAAAAAAAATGAACGTTAACATTATTTTATTCTGTGATGTCATTGAAGGTAAAGGTTGTTTAATTTAAAGGCCGGTTTATATTCTCCAGTTGTATAACCGCTGGATTCGGTTACTTAACTGGAATAATGTAACCCGGGCATGATTGCATTCCATGAATTAGGTTATATGTAAACTGTCAAGTATTGTTAGAGTATAACAAATTGTTTCTGCTACATTTTCGTAAAATATAAATGTCGGATGTTTATTAAATTGTTTATACTATTTACTTACCTTTTGGAACATGACTATAATAGAATATAAAGATATTTTAAGAAAGAAAGTTATAAACTGACGAACAGTTTGAAACATGTATGACGTCATTTATTTTTTCCGAAATTCCAGCCAGTGAGTAAAACCTTAGGCTTCCTTATAATAGAAACTTTTTATTTAAAAATTATCTCTGATGAAATAACCTAAAAATAACAAATATCCGGTTGATTTTAGAGTAAACTTGTTTTGTTTTCATGTTTTTTATTAGAAGAAAGGTTGGTTAATTTGAAACTATTTATAGTACATTGTGTATACAGTTTTATACTTATTTGGCTGTTAGTTTTGATGATGAACAAAATGTTTGCTCCAGGTGAGGCTCGAACTCACAACCCCGGCATAGCTCGGACACTGTCGTATAAGTACCGTGCGCTAACCAATTGCGCCACTGGAGCGACGGCATCTATCTTCGAAATACCACAACCTATCTCTTGTTCTCTATCTCATAGTTGGTTGATTTTGGAACTATTTTATAATATAGGGTGATGAGAAATCGGCCATCGGGATTCGCTAGAATAGCGATGCAACCGCTACCCAAATATCCGCTTTTGCAGATACGTTGCCTCCATTTAATCTACATTTAAACATAGGTGAAGCACAGGAAGGTGCTATCTCCCCTACCTGAGTCCCATCTCCTGTTAAATCTCCTTCCTCTTTACATTCTTTCCTTGTTATCAATCTCTGGTTCCCTTTTTTTATTCTATAATTTACTCCTTCAATGGTAATTTTTACGTTATTTATGTAACAAAAAAACAAGTTTAATATAGCGTTTATTTTTGTTATATGAAATGAACAATATACAATTTATTAACAATATTCACATGATAAAAATAAAAAATTTTACAATATGAGCAAATTATTTTTTTACACTAGCAATTTATAACGCAAATAGAATGGTAAATCAATTAATTTAGATTTCATACGAATTAATTAAAAAAATAAATTATAAATCACATAAATTTGAACTTAGTTAAAAAAAAAACATTTTTTACAACATATACTAGCCTTTTTTTCAAATTTTTATCCAATTCATGTAAAAATAACAAACAGAATTATAAAAAGCCTACGAAATGTCAAAAATTTGCATCAACAAACAGTTGTCAACTTAGTAGTTCATAATAAAAAAATAAACAGATGAAAAAAAATACTAAATGCACGTTAAAATAAGGCACAAACAATATATACAAGATAATACATCTAAAGCTTTAACAGAACTCTTTTTTACACTTATTAATAATTACTAGTATGGGCCATTTCAAATATCTTGGACGCTCAGAACTCGCTACGCAACCATTCTTGGAATCTACCACGAATATTGTCCTTACAGTTGAGAGAACGTAGTTATAACTTCATTTACATAAATTGTATGGAGCTTGTTACACTTAACGGCCGGTAGGGGCGCTGCACATCAAACATCTAATAAAACGTAAACACTTCTTTGTTGCCTAAGATGTCAGCAATTACAGCATATTTTTGAATAATTCCCTTTTTAATAAAAATCCTTACACTTACGTCACGCTTTAGACTATATATTTTCACGCCATTAAACTTAGGGGGTAAATATTTTTGACAAAAACCCTAATGTGGGAAAGAGACCATAAGTTGCTGCCAACATCAAGGAAGCAAGGTTGCTAAGGTTTGTCATGTCACGTCAATTTGAGAAATGTGAACAATGAAATAAAATTTTTACAGTTTCATGCGGATGAAGTCGCACGGGAACAGCTAGTATTTTTATAAGACACGTACAATGTTCCGAACCGCCAAGATATTTGATAAGGTTTATACATTTTTGGATGACTATGGCAATATATCTCAAGGAACCAATGATATCGAAAACATTATATAATCGTTCAATACGTTATTAAAAAGAAAATAGAGTAATTATTGCTCTTAAATTTTAGGCACTCTTAACGTGTTTGGTGTAAGCAGATGAAAAAATACTACAATTTAAAATTTTATTTTATACGATTTCAGGAAAGAAATAGGATATCACATTTTCTTTAAAATACCTGTAAATTCTATTAATATGAAAATAAAAAATTATAAGTATTTGATATTCATAAAAAAATCGCTTATTTATTTGTGAATTTGGAAATAAAACATTTTTCATAGTATTACAATGGAAATGTCTTTGCATTTATTGTTTGATACTAAAGTTTTGTTCACAAATACAAAACGACTTTTTTATGTATTCAATCGATTGTCGACTCTATATGAATAATTAGTCTATGAAAATGGGTAAATATTTCATTCATTATGTTGTTTTTTTTTTTAAAGAAAAATAGATGTATAGTTGACAAGCTAGTATAAGAAATTACAAATTCAATGTGAATAAAACAGAAAATCCATAGTTATTATTTTCTTTAGTCATTCTTTCGTATCATTATTAGTGGCTATTTCCACTGAGTGGCTGTCGTCGCAACAGTGGAAATTAGATTAAGGCGCATAACTCCATTGTTATTTTGAGGTAGTCTCTGATTTGTCGTTGCTTGGGAACGACGACTGTTCCATTAGTTATCGAAGACTTAGAACGCGCACATTTTTGACTAAAGTATCGCACAACTGTTTAGTCTCGCTTTGATTATGAGCTTATATGGTGCACACTACTCGATTTTTAGTTATGCTACTAAATACAGTTGTGCGATAGATTAGTCAAAGGCGTCCGCTCTTAATATGCAAATGGCGTAAATTCTATTAGTTTTGGAACCGCTGGCAACAGCGTTGTAGCTTAAATTCGGACAAAATACCAAGACGCAGAGCCAATTAGCATTACCTTGGGCGAGATTTGTATAGCGTCCCATATGAATGGCGCCCCTTAAATACGCCCTGAACTTGCCCTATCTCGCCCTACCCTAATGCCGATATGCCCATTCCTGTAGAATATAGTCAGTAGCTCAAGCCAAAGACTTCACATATAAACCCTTCGTAATGCTTTCGATATTCTTGTTAATTTATTTGATAAAGTTCGGATATCACATATCTTTAAGCACGTGCTTTAAAATTGCGCTTTCGCTGGTCCTCGTCTGCGTAACTCCTGTGTCCATCTGACCCAGGTTCAGGACCCTGGGCTCGGACTCAGTAGACCCCGGTGATATACCATCACTGTCCAGGTTTTGGAACAACACGTTGTTGGAACCAGTTGAAGGGTTCCTTCTGTGACCTGGATCTATGATTGGATGGGGACCTGGGGAGATTTGAAAATTATCTAACAAACTTTAATAAATCTCCATGTTATACTTTATAACATACAAGCTTTCAATCGCGACTCCGTCTGCGTATAATATAAAAAAATTAAGAAAACTACTTATGTGTTCTTCCAGACTATCTTATAAGTTATAAATGGGTCACATAAGAAGACCCTTAGTGTAGTTACAAGGTTAAAACTCACCCATTGTGGAACTTCTCCTAGACGTAGGCGTTGTACTTCTAGATTGTGCTAGATTCATAATCGGTAATTGGGGTCGAGGTTTAGATTCGTTCTGTAGGAACTTGACAAACTCTGCGGCTAAACTGTCAGTTGTCGTTGTGGATCTAACAAGACCTAGCTTCTCACATTCTTGCTGGTTGAAGTCTAGCACTGTTGATAGAATACGCAAGACCTGGGTTCTGGAAAATTGTAACATTTTACTTTCCAAACTAAAAGAGTAACTTTTTTCGTAATAGAAGGTAGAAAATAAAATTAAACGTCTCTTGTCCCGTCAAATCCTTACGTTACAATAATTTTCATTCTAAAATAATGGTAGGAAGGGAAAGATGACTACAATTTGTCCTCTAGCAATACCTTCCTTATAAAATAGTGATTTGTGATAACTTACTTGTTAATAACGCTATGAGCGCCAGTCACCACGTAGTTAATTATCAAGTTCTTGACCAAGTTCTTGTCGACTTTGTCCTGCTGGTTGGACACCGCGTTGTAGTAACGTTGCTCCGCCATCGATACTGACGTCTGCAGAAGTCTCACTAAGGAAATTGTATAAAGGAATTTCTTTATTTTTTTATATAGAAAGACATCAGATAGGCATTTTAAATTGGAATCTTATCACTTTTTGGTCTTAAATGATGATTGTTTTAAGTGACAAATATTATCTGGGATGGGTTTTATACTTTTAATACACATGCAAACAAATAATACAATTTCGATTAGTCTATTTACAAATGTATTATAAATAACTATAAAGTTCATATTTACAACACAAAAATATAAGGAGAGCATTTTGTAGTCCAAATGGCAAAATTAAATTATTTTAAATTACATATTTAATTTCATCTACAGTCTACTCTTACCATGCTATGCACACTATTGCGTCGATGCTCGAACATACAGCACGATGAAAACGCAAACACGACCTCAAAGTATTATTCAGCCACTGGGAGGGGAACTGATGACGTCACCAATTACGATTGCCATTAAAATGGTAAAATTACATAAGCTTCTATTGTTTGGTCAAAACTCTAGATTCATCCATGAAAGTACCTACACTATTTACACCAAAATATGGTCCTTTGAAAATCTTTTGGGAAATAGGAATTGAGTAGGTTAGGAAATAAAAGAATTAGAAATCTTAGATAAATCAATATTCTAAGATTAAAAGACGACGTATAAAATCGTTTATCGAAGTATTACCAGAGAATTTTATTTTCGACCAAACAATTAAGAAGTCTGTGGGTAGTTTAAATTTTGACAATAAAAGACCGTAAGTGATAACGATTTTGGTTCCATTTTCCAATACCACCAGTACCTGAAGTAATACTCAGAGGCAATGATGCACTACTGAAGGCTTCTGCTACTACTAAGGGGTTTAAAAAAACATAAAATACTCTTTGACATTGTAATCTTAATATCAATCATGAAAATTCAAGACTATAGTAATTCAAAATAATTACTTGATATTAAATATTACAACAGTCTTCAACTAAAACACAATTACATCAAAACAAAAAAATGTGCTGCAAGACTATACAATACAGGTGTAGATAAAAATGATGCAAAGTCAATATTTTTATATTTTAATCATATTAATTTTTAATTAAGATGTAAGAATAAAAATGCAAAAATATTGACTTACAATCACAAAGCATAATAAAATAAACACAGGACGTCACGACGTGCAGCCAATCTGCAGTCAAACCCCACATGGTAATCTGAGTCCAACGCGGCGCTAACTACCCTCATAGCGACCGCCGCGATATCATCAAACCTCACAGTTACCAAATGAGATTAGACTGAAGTAGGCAAAAGCTTCTCGTTCTTGTTTTAAATATCAAAACATTCATAAATTCATACACAAGTTACAAATAATTCAGATAATCAAAACTCATCACAACGAAAAGCAAAAAATCAACGAAACAGACTACAAGACACACGTAAAAGCAAATGACAACTACAGAAATAAAACTAACTAATAAACTCACGTGTGTCTATCGAGTTTGAATTTGTAGAGATTCGACATCTAACTGTATACCAACTGATAGCCTGGGGGGAATAACCCCAGAATTACCAGCTGATATTTAGTCAGAAGCCGTAAATGCTAATTCACACTACAATACTATTAAAAAATCAACATATTTAACAATAGAACAGTAAAATCTTTATCTAATTTCAAATGTACAATTTCTAACTATAAACTGTTAAAATTATTTACAGATTTCGAAATTTCAGGGCCTGTCCCACCACTGTCTGATAGAGGTTCAGATAGCTTAAAAATGACTTCACACTTTTCCATCACATATTTTACGCGTTGGATTATCAGACAATTTACAATTTGGTGGGACAGGCCTTATTGTTTTAAAGGTAATGTTTAAATAGAAACCTTACCTTGTTCCTTTAAATCATTTATCTGTGCTGCTTTAGATTCGACTTGGTCTCCCAATCTGGAGGCTGCTTGTAATCCTGCCAAAGACTCATCCAACTTTGAATTCAATATCGCTATTTCTTCTTTTTGTTTATTATTCCTATATTTCATATCGTCCAATTGCTTTTGTATTTTTTCCGTAGCAGCTGCTACATCTCTTTCTTTTTCTGTAAAAATAATTTATGCTACATCCAATGCTAATGACTCGTAATTTTGTATCATAAGGTAGATGAGCTACCGGAATTCGTCAAAATGACAAAGCATTTCCTGCCAATAGATATTACAATTGCCGATGTCTACTTAATCCACGGAAGGGGGGACGCACATAATGTGGGTATTTCCTATTTCTACACTTTTCTTATGAAGAAAGGAACTAAGGAAGTATACCGTTCCCAAATCTCTGTCTATGAAAACAATCTACAATTTAAAGAGAAGTATACTGGTTTTAAAACTAACGCGGGATAGCAATGTTTAACATGTGGTTTTCTGTATTTGTGTATTTGTAAATTGCTGTTACCGGCTTAAAGATTAATAACCAAATAAAATTTTAGTGAGGTGTCATTTGATTTGTTCTGTAAACTTAGTATTAAATAGAATGACATACCTAACTGGAACTGCTCTAGTACGACTTGGAGATTGGTAAGAGACGCTTCACTTCGAATTCTAGCGTCTTCAGCATCACTCAACTTAGCTTGGACTTCTTCTCTTTGCCTTTCTAGAAGTTTTATTTGATTCTTATATGTTTCCACTTCTTGATTAGCTCGGATGCTGCAAATTTAAAACAAACTTTAGCAAGCAAAGCAAATCAATACCTCCATATACTTCATTATTCACTATGTCAAGTTATAAAGTTTGACGTAATGTTTATTGTAAAATTTAACTTACCTATTGCTGGTATAAACGGTACAAGAATGTTTAGCTTTTTCTTCCACTTGTTGTAATCTCATCTGACATTCGGCGAGCTTTTGTTCTGATGTCATCAACTCTTGCGTATAATTTTCTTCCATCTCCATTAAATGTTCCCTCAAACGCTCCAATTCCTTCGATGAATTCTGTTCCTCTTCTAACAACTAAAACGATGGTTACAGTAAGAAAGAGTACGAATGAATTGGTAGGAAATTCTAAAACAAATATATTACCTGCGCGTTCTCTGCAGTCAATTTCTTCATAGTTTCCTGTTGATTTGTTAGCTTGCTATCTAAATCTTCGCATCTCTTGGTCAAGTTTTTAATAGTTTCTCCAGCATTGTTAAGATCTATTTTAAGTTTTTCTTTCTCTTGCTTGTGTTCGTTTAAAACAGCAATCATTTCGTCTTTTTCTTTGAGAGATGTTCTAAGATTGTCACAATTAGGACAATTTGTGGTTTTATTCTGTGCGATTGCGTCCATTTCTTGTACCAATTTTTTCTGTTTCTCCGTTTGTTCCAATATAACGAGGTTCAATCTTTGGATTTCATTATGGTATTGTAGACTTTCATTATGCTTTAAATTGATTAGGTTAATGAGACTAGCTTTCTCAATTTGTGATTGTTCCACAATATTTTGATATTCAACGTGTGCTTTCTCAAACTGTTCCATTTTGTGTTCCAAGTCAGTAATTTCTTTGTGCTTATTTTCAAGTTGTTGATTCAATTCGTAACTTAGTTTGCCAATTGCTGTTAATTGATCAATTAATTTATTATATTCGTCATTTTGGTGAGTTGTATCAATTGTTTTTAATTTATCCGTAAGCTCTGTGAGTGATTCGTTAAGTTCCTTTATTTGTTTTTCTTTCTTCTCAACTAAGGATTTGAAGTCTTGATTTGTCTTTTCTAATTTCTCAATGCGATCTGACAACATGGCTATAGCTGTGTTTTTATGGTTAACCTCGTCATTTAACGCATATAATTGTTTATCAATCTCCTCTTTTTTCACATGTAATGAACTCAACTCATCTTGGTTTCGATTTAAATTGTCAGACGTTTTACTGAGTTTGTCATTCAATTTTTTATATTCCGTGTTTAAGGCTTCTATTTCTTGCGCTTTTGAGGATATATTTTTTTGCAATTTCTCAATAGTTCCTTCGTTGCCACGAAGTCTATCAATTGTGACATCTTTTTCGTTGAGATCTGACACCAATTTGCCTAATTCTTCTTCAAGGTTAGTTATTTTGTTGTTGGCGGCAAAAAGTTCCGTTTCCAGTCCTTCCTTCAAGTGCAAGAGTCTGTCGTTCTCTTCTTTTAGAGCAACTACATCTTTGGTAATCGTCTTAAATTGTTTGACGACATTTTCAGTTTCTGATATTGATTTCTCAAGTGATACAATTTTTTGCAGTTGGGTTTTAGCGTCATTCTTGAGGGTATCGTTTTCAGCTAACAGTTCTGTCATACTTGTATTCAATGTTTTTAAATTCCCATTTAATTCATCTATTCTTGTTGTTAAAGTCAAATTTTCTGACACTAAACTATCCACAGTACTCTGTTTATCAGTAGCTGTTGAACATGTCTCCTCAGTGGTGGTAATTGGTTTCTCATATTTATTTTCAAATTCCTTAATCTTCTTCAATAGTTCTGTTGCGTTGGATTTCAGATTGTTGTTCTCGACTTCAATTTTTTTAATTTCACCTAATCTTAATTGTAAGCTATTTTTAAGATCATCTATTTCTTTTGTGAGCAAGACTTTATCGTTTTCTAAAATGTGTTTATCTATCGCGCTTTGCTCATTTTTAGCATTAAGTGCGTTCAATTTCTTCTTCAACGCGTCAATTTCATCAACAAGTTTTTCATTGTTTAGAACGTTTGAACTATTTTCTAATTCAGCCATATTACTAGTCTGAGTTTTGCACAAATCTAGTTCATTTAGCATAGATGTATATTTTTGTTTCAAATCATTTAAGCTTTGTTGTAATTTAGTTTTCTCTGTCTTAACTTCTACTAATTCTTTTTCTATCCTTTTTATTTCTGATTCGAAAGTTTTATTCATCCTAGTAGAATCTGCTAATTCAGTTTCTAGTTTCGTGTAATTGTCTTCGTGTGTTTCAATAATAGGTTCCAATTTAGACGAATTCTTTAGAGCTGTTATTTCGGAAATAAGGAAATCATTATTTTTCTTCATTTCATCTAATTCTCTTTCATAATGCTGTAAATCAGTTGTGAGAAAATCGTTTTCAGTTGTCATATCATCAATTTGAGTTTGTAATTGGCTTATATTATGATTCTTTTCAGATAACAATTGTCCCAGCATATCGATTTCTTTTTTAAATGAGTTAACAGTTTTAAAGACACTTTCGATTTTGAATAATACAAGATTATCGTCAGAGGGCATTTCTCCGACATAGTCAATAGGTAATTCAAAGTTTACGTACTTATTATAAAGTTGTATTATCTTATCAGCTTTGACTACTTTATTGTCCGATTTCTCGGGACAATGAATTTCCTGTACAGCCAATTTATGTTTTAACTCATGAATATCTCGTTTCAAAGTCTCTATTACAACTTTTGCATTATCATCTATATTTATTTCATCTGGATGTAAATTATTGGGACTTTTTCTCTCTTTTAAACCGTTGTATTGTTTCAATAATTCCTCATATTGATCCTTGGGAACGGTGTCAATATTCTCCGGTCCTTGAAAATGTAGTTCCGCATCATGCTCCAATCTGGTAACTTGCTCTTGCAATTTGAATATTTCTTCATGTAAATCTTGGTTTTCTTCTTGGAATTTCTCCGCGTTTTCTTTCAACAGCATGTGAACCCTTTCTAGATTTTGATACTTATGCGCTAAAGTATCATAATCGGTGCAAAACTGTTTTAATCGCGCTATTTCTTTATCGCGTTCATTTATTTTTAAAATCAAACCTTTGACTTCATTAGCGTATTCCTCATTTGTATTTTTCAAATCTGCGTGTTCTTTTTTAAGGACTTCAAAGTTGTGTTGTAAGTCCCTCTTCAAAGTTAGAAGTTTGTCCATAGCCTGTCGGTGCTGATTATCTAAATCCTCCAAGTTTTTGATAAGATTATTATTCTCTTCTTTAAGGCGTAACACTTCATTAGGATGTTCTGAATCTTTACTATCTCTGCGCTGTTTCATGGCGGATAATTCTTCTTGTAGCGTGCGTATGTGTATTTTATATTGATTTTCAACCTCATGGTCAATGGGTTCCGTTGACTGCGACGGTGGATCCCAATACCATGTGGTTTCTTCTTCCCTAAAGCCATTCTTCTTGGATATCCTCTGGAAAGTAAAGAAAAAAATGGCTATAGTGGTTGTTAATAATAAAACGATACTTAAAGTATATCTTGAATATTATTGATCATTAAGTAATCTTATCTATGTTTTTAATTTGATATTAAGTGAAATACTTGAGATATTATTGAACGTATTTGATTTTTAAGTAATAAAAGATTAACGGTGATGAATTCTAGAACATCATTTGGTGCAACTTTATGACAAACTGCTTTTGGAATGGTAGATACATTTATACTGGAAATTTTTTACTCCATGTTGCAATATTATCGTCGCCATTTTATCTTTATCCACTAATGTAATCATTTGTTAAACAAATATAACGAAACCTCGTAAGGCAGTGTATAATTAGGTGGTAGGGGTCATATACGGTGTACAACTCAAGTTAAAGCGGTCTGTATTTTAGTTGTATACTATTGTGTGCTGTAAAGATACGGTGTACTGTTCACTGGTGCGAGTGAGTGTCTGTTCAAACACGATACGTTATCAGGTCGCTTTTTAATGGCTCCACGAGTAAGGTACAACGTATGGTAAAGTTAAGTGAAGCGTGTTACATACTGAATGTTGGGTTAACACAAAACTAGACAGCTATTTCTACATTTCAAATATTAGATGTATCCGGCCCGAAGGACCATTTTTTGTCCACTTAATACTTCTTTTCCGAGTGTTTGTCTATATTTTTTCGATAATTTTACCTTCGGAAAGAATACATTCTAGGTAGAGGATGTTTAATTACAATTCTTAATGAGTCTCTCACAAGATAGTGTGCAGGTTCGTTCCGGTGAACGCGCAAGAGGACAAGGTCGATATGCGGGTACTATTAACCTCGCTGTCATAGCACATGCAATCATTCAAACGTGCATACATTGTCTGTCATCCCTTATGGTACTGGCTAGTAACAAAACATTAAAATACAATTTCACTCCGAAGACAGACGAATGACAACTCAAAGTTTAAGTTAGCAATGAATAACCTCTAAATTTATTATTTATTATTTACTATTTATATATATTTTTTTCCATTGAGTTATATTATCTTTACCTTGTTTTCTTACCTTTTAATAATTTTACTGCTGTAACTGACGTACGGAAGACGCAAAGGCTTTTGCAGAATATCAGCGTTTTCACCCCCCGGGGTACTAACATATAACTGAGCAAAGGCCCTATCAGTTCTGCATTGCAACACATGGTTAGAATGTGTAATATATGTTTAGTGTTTTTTTTTTTATTTCTTTCGGCAATTTGTTTTTGCCACCTATTATTAGTTTTGATTATAAATAGTAAATGTCTTTTATTTTCTCGTTTGTATTTTGTGTTCAAGTGTATTTAATTTGTTGCAATGTGTTTTTGAGCTGATTAAATGTTTATAATTATTATAATAATTAAAATAATAATAAATACCCTCCTGTCTGTCGGGCAAAAGTAATTGCTATTTAAAAAAATAAATTCATGTATCGAGAGTGTTCCACAAGTTACCCTTACAATGGCGATATGCCTATCTAAATGACGACTAATTAGTGAGTTAAACAAGTGTAGGCAGAAACCCGTTTTTCGTTTCCCCTTAGCAAGTGAGGCGTGAAAACGATAACATTCGCGAAGCCCTAGTTTATTATTACATGTTTAAGTATATGTAAGTAACTAAACTACGGGTTACAGCGAGTTCACTCTATTAGTTCTAATCTAACACATGTTTCAATGTGAATGTTTCGTCACTGTGAACTGAAATGATGTCATTAAATCGTCATTTGGAATCCATCGTGTTATCATAATGTAATAATCATGTTCCAGCTATCTTATCGCCATTGCAATGATTATAATCTTGTCACAACCTCTTACACTAATAGTAACATGGTCTTAAAAGATTTTTGTGTCAACTACGGCTTGCAGTAACCGCTATTTAATAACCGATATCGTTGAATTTCTAAAAATAACTGTTTAAAATAGCTTTGAGACTTATTCATTAGATGAAATAAATCTGACTAATGTTATAAATGCAAAAGTTTCGATTGATGTTTGTCAAAGTTTATAGCCTAAACTGCTGAACGGATCTCTGAAATTTAGCATAGTTGTAGACCACATTCTGAAAGAATCATTCCACGCAGACGGAATCGCGGGCGAAAGCTAATATTTAAAAACTATCTTTTGTTAGGTCGGGTATTTTACCGGTCGGCATATATGACAAGTTTACGGCAACATCTACCACTGTTAAGTTTCTATAAAGAATGAACAGAAGGCTAACGAAACGGAACTAACTATAAAACAGACATACCAACTGTGTTACGAAATGTGTGCGGGGTGGAGCGTTGTCGGTGTTTGTACAGAGGTAGGTATTAAGATATGTTATCTGTGAACATTATCAGGCATTAGGCCCAACTCTCGTAAACCTGGAGTCTAACGTAACGGGATATGTATACTGAGAATTTAGTTCAACTATTGTCATAGTAAATTGTAGGTTTAGAGTTATACAGTTTACCGATGGAACCACGATCTAGCCACACGTCACATCACACCACGAAACAGCCATGGGTAACTTAACTAAAATTGATCTGTAGATCAGCTTACTGTTCGTATGAGCAAAGGCCAGTGATCCGGCTCACAGATCAGCTGAATATCTACCTGTATAGGGGTATGATTTAAATGAACTACATGTCACCGAACAGTTCCGGCTTGACATCCTTTATAGTAAATCGTTTTGAGAGCTGCTAATTTAGTTGTTGAGTCGCAGATCAATAGTTCACAACTACATGATTTGTTCAGAGCTGCTCCACACGTTTATAACTAAGCATATACATGTACAATAAATAGGAAGTGTAATATGTTAAACAACACTAGTTCACTAGTGTTGTGCTGTTTTATATCGATTAAATATAACGTGTTGCAACCGGGCTGGAACGTGCGGATACAATAGTTCATAAACGCTTTACCGTATAACAGCTCTGTATATTTGTATACGTTATAAAATACTAGTAAGTTAATACAAAAATGTTATGAAATAAACAATTTTAAGTTACTGTGAAATGAAAATAAAAAATGTTCAAGTGCGGTAATATTTTGGTTAAATATCGTTATTTAGATTATCCCGGACAATGAAATTAAAAATATGTATTATAGCTGATTCTAGCGATCCGTCCGCGTGGAATTAAAAAACAATAAAAAAGCAGCCTATGTTACTCACAGATAAATTACCTTTCTAATGGTGTAAGACAATTTTAAACAGACAAAAATAAAAATCTTTATAATACTAGTATAGTTCAAAAATGTAAGGGAGAGAATACATGTGCCATTGTACATTGCATGAAAGCTATTGGCAAAAACTAGAGGTCAACAAATCTTAACTTGCAAGTAACTAGGACGATATCAAGAGAGAGTTACGGGTCAGTTGAGGAAGGGAAAGAGGCGGATACTGGCTTTACTTAGTTACACAATACTGACACGTCCCGTCTCATACGATCCCGTTAACATTATTCTGGCGTGTGTAACTAGCACTAGCTACTACTACATTTTACTGGCACGTGTATTTCCGACGTAAATTTGTCAATCCTGGTATGTATTCGTAAAGGTTTACCAAACATTTTACAAATATAAATACGCTGAGAAAATAGATGATTAGCACAGATAAGTTAAGCAGAGAGGCGACACTAGCGCCCTCAGCCTTGGCCGCCTTGCGACCGCTTATACAATCGTCATAATAATTGACAGCCAATAAGGCTTGTACATACTAGCATTTTAAATACTAAATGATATTAACCGAATTTAAAATAACTTTTCAATGAAATGCTTCAAGAGAGTCAAACGCGTTGGTTTTTTTAATTTTTTTTCTATTAAGGCGAAGTGGGTTAAGAAGGACGCTTAATCGCATTTATGTAATAACAGATTTACACGGAAGTAGCTTTTTAAAAATGTTTTAAAGCTCCAGTGTGTACATACCTTAACAATGCAGTTACATAGCAGTTATTCTTAATTACATGCACATGTATAGCCTTAAGATTATGTAGTTTTACGAAGGTTTTGAGAAAACGCATTAGAATACGTTTTATTTGGAAAAACTATTAAAAAAAGGACTAATCTATTGTAAAGTTAATTTATCTACTGGAATATATAATCGAAGATTTTTCAAACGTATTTTAAATTTCGGATTTAAATAAATCTTTAACTACTTTAAAATAATTTATTAAATAAAAGTTCCTCATAATCACAGGTGCAAACTCAAGCATTAATATGTTAATTTTATATGCAAAATTATATAAATAATATGCTTTACCTCCTTATATTCCATAAAAGGAAATGACGCAATTGCAAAATGTATCAGTTGTAAAACTGTTGCCAACATTAACATCATTTTGGTTATTTTTTAACGTTCCTTTTACAAATCAGGTTAACGTATCTCACTTTATGTCACACTAAACTCACAGTACGGTTAAATATATTTTGGTCTCTTTTACTCTAAAAACACTGAAACACTTAATCACATTTTTCTATAATTTACAATAATTTTCCGAACGCAAAGGATAATAAAAAATAAAACAATATAGAATGACAGCGAATAGGCAAAGGCTCCGGAACCATTCAGCCAGTTATGTCATTATTTTGTTCGTAATCACAACACGCTTTCATAATCGCTTTTGTTTTCAATATTTCCGTACACAATAAACTATTGCAAGTATAATATGATTCAAATTGGTGACGGAAGTTATATTAAATCATGAAAAGAACAAGGTATATTGTATTTTGTAAAATTTATAAAAGATTTGATGGATATATATTTTTTTAATTTGGAATAATACTGACACACATCGCTGGCTGTAAATGTCAGTGTGTGGTTATTATCATGCTCTGGATACTAGCATTTGTATCCTGCATGGTATATGGTTACGAATGACATTTAAATTTCAATTGAAATCACTCACGATATTAATTACGATATAGATTAATACATAACCACACTAGGAAAAAAAATGATCGTTACATTTGAATATTTTTTAATCTTTA